GACAGTTCATTAGCCTATTGTCCTGATCAATTAGCTTGTGTTGTTATAAGCTGATTTTATATAATGGGAATTTTAACTGTATGGCAACTGTGAGCTTTATTGTGGTTTGCCACACTGGGTGCCTAGTGTGGAAAGGTTGGATACAAATTTAAATACTGAAATAAATATAAGAAACTATTTTGTCATGCTGAGAACAGAATATTCTCAGTATTTAAAAAGAAAATTTCACCTATATGGCAAAGATTTAAATAATGCAATCCTATATATGTTTACTCATACATAATTCCCATATGGCTTACTCCCAGATGCAAGAGTGCACTCTTGCTCTCTCTTCTCCCTCCCTCCCTCCCTCCCTCCCTCCCTCACACACACACACACACACACACACACACACACATTTTGATAACAGTAATAGCAACAGACTTTAGCTCCTGGCTACCAATTTCTTGTTCAAATAAGCACATCAACTTAGAATTAAGTCCCATTGGGCTGAACAGTACTTATTTCCAGATAAGTGCATATACAATTGCAGCATTTTGTAACAAAATTCTGCTTCTGTACTATGAAGCTATTCCCAAAGTTCTAAGATGACTCTTTATCTGATTTGGCCACTTTTGTTTGGAAAGAGTGGGGGGGGGGGAATTAGGCAGCCCCCCCGCACTGCCTAGTTCATCAGCAAAAACACAATAGTTTTTCAGGACATCAAGGTACATGCAATCAACCAAATGACCTTTACATCATCTTCAACACAGGTCAAGTAGAACTATTCATAAAGGGTAAAATAAACTGCTTACAAAAGGACAATTGGAAGAAATGGTTGTAGATCCTTTAATTATTACTATTTAAAATTAATTTTAACTGGTGGGAGGGCATCAAAAACCCACTGTAGCACTCTGCATAATGATCTGCAGCAGAGATATTCAGGATAACAGTGATATGTTTCCAATACTTCAATATAATATGTTCCCATTTTATAGACTCATATGGCAGAGAAACCCACATCTCTAATAAAGTGCAGTAACTTTGGCAGAACTGCCACCTCAGAAGTGTGGCAGCTAATGACTCCTGCAAGTAGCAGTACCTTCTGGTAATTCTACAGAAGAAGGTTCAAAAGGCTTGGCCCCCAGTAGTGTAAATAACCTGCTCAACAAAAGCGGAGGAATGGGGAAGAAATGATACAATTACATGTTGATCCCTGTGGGTGGCGGACCTTTATGGTTACATGGAGTTCCCCTAAAGTAACAGTTTCCCTTGGGAACACTCTTTGAACTCACTGCAAATAACTTTTCTATTACTTATATATTTATCTATTTTAAATGAATACAGTAAAAGATTGGCCTTAAAAGCAGCTCTTGCTCTACCCAGAGGGTTACACAGACATGTTAAAGACCAAGTGTTCTGCCTTCAGTGCTGCCATCACACACACACACACACACACACACTTCAACTTTTTGAATTTGCTATCATAATACAAAATCTTATCATTTCTAAAAATTTCAAGAGTTGGTATGAAGGTAAGGGAGCTTAGCCTCTGTGGCAGTTCACACACATTTGAAACTTGATAGAAATGATGAGGGTGAAAGAGGAGAGTAAAAAGTTGGCTTGAAACTCAACATTAAGAAAACTAAGATCGTGGCATCCGATCCTATCACCTCCTGGCAAATAGATGGGGAAGAAATGGAGGTAGTGACAGATTTTATTTTCCTGGGCTCCAAGATCACCACAGACGGCGACTGCAGCCAAGAAATTATAAGATGTTTACTCCTTGGGAGGAAAGCTATGGCAAACCTAGACAGCATACTAAAAAGCAGAGACATCACCCTGCCAACAAAAGTTCGTATAGTCAAAGCTATTGTTTTCCCAGTTGTAATGTATGGCTGTAAGAGTTGGACCATAAGGAAGGATGAGCGCCAAAGAATTGATGCTTTTGAATCGTGGTGTTGGAGAAGACTCCTAAGAGACCCTTGGACGGCAAAGAGATCAAACCAGTCAGTTCTAAAGGAAATCAACTCTGACTGCTTATTAGAAGGTCAGGTACTAAAGCTGAAGCTCAAATACTTTGGCCACCTAATGAGAAGGAAGGACTCATTGCAAAAGACCCTGATGCTGGGCATGACTGAAGACAATTGGAGAAGGGGACAGCAATTCTGAATAAAATGGGGAGGAAGCGAATTCTGCAAGCTGCTTTGGGTTCCTTGCAGGGAAAATGGTGAGATAGAAATGTAACAAACATGTAAACAAACTTCAGTTAAGACCATCCCATGTTTAGCTTTTAATCAGTCTGGAATTTATGCTTTATTGGTCTAGTCTCCATTAAAAAGGAATTATATAACTTCAAAATCTAAAATAACTTTCTTAAATTTTCCATGAGCTATCTTCCACATCTTTCACTTTATTATTTGGAGTATACACATGCCAGGATAATATGGCCAGTCACAGCTTCCTATGAAGCTTTTTCTCCACTATTGTTTTCCTCAATAGTTGTTACTGCTTTAAATTATGTCGATTGTAAGTTGTGTATACAAAGGAAGGATAAATGGGTTTAAATGAAACGTAAAGGATGGATATCATAAACTTGTCCAAACAGCCTACATCCAAGTGCTGCATCATATTACACACCCTGACAGTGAATTGCTCCAAACACCTCCAGAGGCTCATCTTTTCCCCCAGTTGTTCTCCCACAAAATGCATTCCTGACATGGATTTCTGATAGTTACATTCCTGGGAAGCTTTTTCTCCAGACTTAGCAGAACTAGATTCTAAGCACCAGTACTGGAGTGTTTACAGGGGATAAAGTCTGCCATGGTGAATGGACAACTCGGCTTTAGTTGCTCAAGATTCACCTAACACCCAGATTCAGATACACATCCATTATCCACAGCAATTATCTGATTTGCTTATCCTACCACTAGTCAGTTTAGCCCCTCTTTTTCAACAAAAAGGCTGAAGACAAGCCTGAGGCACTTCCTCAGGCTTTCATTCTGAAAAGCTAGAAGGAGGGATAGACACTCCAGATACAAAGTTCTTTGTCAAAACTCTCTGCTGCCCAAAGGGCCTGGTGGAGTTGAATGAAATTTCTGCAAAGTGGAGAGAAGTTCACAACAGATACAGCATTTCTGAAGAGGGGCTTTCCTTTGGCCAATCTAAAATCAGTAGATCATCACTGCATATTTCAGGTCTTTGATAATATCATAAATGAATATTCATACTCTTTAAAAATTGTTCATAATGCCATAATTTGTTTATCCATACAGTGTTCCTAGACTGTTTGTTTGTTTTTGCTGCTACAGATGACGACCCCTCTAGAAAAACACATTTCCCTCTCACATCTTCAGACAAGTTACATTTTCTTGCTGGCCAGATCTTAATTTGTGCCCAGACTATGCTGCAGGACAAAATGCCAAGGATCAGTCCTAGCACTTTTGAGATGATGAAAGTTCCTTGGAGCATGTGCAGATAGCGCCTTTCTCTCTCCCACCCCTGAATACCTGCAACAAGCAACACACATCAAAGCTTTCCAAGTCACAGGGAAGAAAATGTAGGATTTTGCTTTCCTTGGCCTCCATCCCTAGCTGGTCTGTATTTGTTAATAAATTAGAGCATTTAATATATTGTTATATAAATAGTTCATAAATAAATATCTTGTTTTCTAAATATAAAAAGGGCTAGGAAACCATTGCAGCCAAAGCACCTAGTTCCACTTCAACAAATCTCTTGGGGGACCCATTCCAGCGGTAGCTGGGGCAGACTGTAAACAGGGCAGAGCCAAAAATGACATTTAAAAACCCCACCAGGTATCATAATATGCTGAGAGGCACTGTGACACATCCTGGAGAAGACCTTGGGAAATCTGGGTTCACCATGTGGCCATGAAGCTTTCTGGGTGACTTTGGGTCAGTCACTGACACTTAACCTACTGTTAAGTAGGTTGTTGTTGTTGTTGTTGTTGTTGTTGTTATTAGAACATTTCTATGCCGCCCCTTGCGGAAGCCTCGGGGTGGCTTACAACACAATACAATATAAGTAGCCTAACCTACTGTGGTTAAACATCCAGACAACTCTGGCTATTGGGCAGTATAGAAATTAAATAATAACAGTGTTATTAATAATACTGATAATTCACAGGAATGCTGTGAGGATAAAATGGAGAATTACATAAAAGGTCTGAGATTCCTTGCAGGGAAAATGGCAGGATATAAATGTAATAAAGAAATGCATAAACAAATCTCTTCCTGTCAGTGGCAAAGCCTTAAGAGACCCACGGCAACCTTTTAGAATGGGAAAAACTGCAGAAAAGGTACAATTTGGGGGGAAAGGTGAGGAGCACAAAAAAGGGGGGCAAGAACAGATCAGGGAAGCCTGGATTCTGCCCTGAGCTTCTTCAGCCCTGATATTAAATATTATTTAATATAGAAACACTTGGCTTTTCGATGCCCCCTACTAGTGTTCCTTTGCTATGGCAGCCTTCACCAACTTTGCTCCCTCGATATATTTTGGACTTTTACTCCCAACAATCCCATCCAGCACGGCCAACAGGTCTGAAAGATGTAGTCCAAAACACCTGTGGGGGGGGGGGTGCGGGACAGTGAAGACTGCCCTGTGGGAGGGTGTGTGTATTGTACTTCCTTGCACTTTTCACATTCAGCCACTACACTTGCACACTCCTGGAAGTGGAGCGTTGCAGCCTACAGCCTGCACCAGAGAGGAGAGATTCTGCAATGTCTTAGGGTTGAGAAGGACGAAGCCTAACCGGGGGAGGGGGGCTAAATACAACTGAACCCCGTCGAGAAAGCACGAAAGAGAGGGCGAGCTCAATGCTGCTACTGCTACTGCTGCTGCCGCCGCCGCCACCTCTCGAGCGGATGCTGCCCAAGCAAGCCCAGGTGCATAGCCAGGAAAAGTCCGTGCCCGCCAGTTCCCCGGGACTGGCTCCCAGGTGAAGTGTCGCCGGGAAGGGCCCGCCGGCACCCACGACGCCCCCTGGCAGTGGCCTCACTTACAATCTCAGCCACCATGAGGATTCCGGGCAGAGTCCTCAGGAACTCCCGGTCGTAGGCGAGCGTGCTGGAGGTGGAGAAGGTGGCCGTGAAGGAGCTGGCGGTGGTGGTGACGGTGGGCGAGCGCGCGCGCCGCTCCTCTTCCTCCTCCTGCTGCTGCTGGTGCTGCTGGTGGCGGTGGGGCTCGTGGTGGCGGTGGGGCTGTGGCTCCATCTTCAGCCGCGGGGACCACAGTCTCCGCCACTCGCGGCTCGCCGCCACCGAGCGCCCCGGGCTCTTCCCCTTGCGCCGCTGCGCTCCTGTTTTCGGCAGCCCCCGCCAGGGCGTCGCGCCCCTGCTGGGCCCCAGGGAAGCGCTCCGCTCGGGGCTTGGCGCCTCTGGGCTTGCTGCCGCCTCGGGGAGGCGAATGGCGTGCGGCTGCCCGGGAACGGCCACGGGGACCGGAGGGAGGTGGCGGCTTTTGCGCGGCGCTGGCGCCTGTGAGGAGCCCCGGCCGGAGGGACTTGCAGGGGGCAGAGCTAAGGGGACGGACGCAGGAGGCGAGGGGGGAGAGGCCTGCGGCACTCGGGTCTGTAGAGCACGGGGAGGGGTGGGGAGAAGGGAAGGGCGCCCTCGGAACCACCAGGCGCCGCAGCTGGGCCCCTGAGTTTGAAAGTTGCTTCAGTGGCGGGGAAATGCTCGCTTTTGAGCCAGTCTTGTACTTTTGCCGAGTGAGTTGCTGTGGTAGTTCTAGGTGCACTCCAGTCCTGCTCAGAGCAGTGGGAATTACCTTACAGCAAATCTGAAGAGGATTGGGCTGCAAGCACGCCAATTTTTTACGCACGCGCGCGCACACAGATTGAGGGAGGGAGAATGAGAGAGAGAGAGATTACTTGAAGGATATAAAGATGTACCCGCACAAGAGTTTGCTGGGTTTGGTACATTGAGAGAGGGACGAGGTCATACATTTCTGCTAACAGACTTAAAATTATTATTATGTTTCTACACTACCCAGCAGCTGGAGCTCTCTGGCAGCGCTTTTCAGTACCCTGTAACAATTTCTTAATTTAATTAACAGCACAATCCTGCAAAAGGGGGGGGGGGGTGTTTGGCCCTGCCCACCATGTTTCAGTTCTGCTCACTGCAGGTGTATGGCCGTACCCGCTTACCTACAGGAAAATGCATTCCTGTAGGTAGAAAAAAGATTGGCTGTCCTGCCACGCAAATGCACAGTGCACACCTGTGCAGACATGGCATCTTTTCTGAAGACACTGTTCATGCTGAAGGGTTAGTTTTATACTCTCTCTTTTCTCCAAGGATTGCAAGGTTGATTACATGATCCACCTCTCCATTTTGTTCTCACAACAGCCCTGTGAGATATAGAACTATGGCATAGCAGAGTTGGAAGGAGCTAGCGGTCCATCAGGTCCAACCCCCTGCCCAGTACAAGACTCCAGGTTAAACCATCCCTCTCAGATGGCTTTCCACTCGCGTCTTGAATGCCTCTAAGTGTGTGAGAGCGGACAACCTCCCTAGGTCTTTGGTCCATTGTTGTGCTGCTCTAACAGGAAATTTTTTCTGATATCTAGCCGGAATCTGGCTTCCTGTAACTTGAGCACATTATACTGTGTCCTGCACTCTGGGTTGATCAAAAGGAGATCCAGTTTTCCTCTCTGTGACAGCCTTTCATGTACTTGTAGAGTGCTACATGCCCAGTTCTTCCAATTTCTCTTCACAGGGCTTTATTTCCAGTCCTTGTGAACCCTTTCCAGCTTGTCTACTTCTTTCTTAAACTGGGGTGACCAAAACTGGACACAGTATCCAAATGAGGCCTAAACAGTGCTGAGTAAGGGAGAACTAGTACTTCACAGGATTTGGAAGTAAGATTTGTATTAATGCAGCCTAAAATAGCATTTGCCTTTTTTGTAGCCTGGTTCGTCCAGGTCCGAAGGAAGACCTGATTCCACCCTCAAAGGCCTGCTGTGACGACTTTGCCAGGCATTTCAGGGAGAAAATCGCTCAGATTCGTCACGAGCTGGACACCACTATTGATTCGGAGGTTTCAAAGGAGACACCAATGCTGCCGTCTGGTCCAGATTTATTGGATGAATTTCAGTTACTGCGGCCTGATGACGTGGACAAGGTGCTTGGGCGAGTACGTCCAACCACTTGCCTTTTGGACCCTTGCCCGTCTTGGTTAATAAATGATTCCAAGCACGGGATTGGAACCTGGATCTTGGAAGTGGTTAACGCTTCTCTGAGGGAGGGTCGGGTGCCTGCCCCTTTAAAGGAGGCGGTAGTCCGACCGGTCCTGAAGAAAGCGTCACTGGATCCAGAGATGGCCGCTAACTATAGACCAGTGGCCAACATCCCGTTTCTGGGCAAGGTGTTAGAGCGGGTGGTGGCGGGACAACTCCAAGCTCTCTTGGATGAAACTGATTATCTGGACCCATTTCAGTCTGGCTTCAGACCCGGGTACGGTACTGAATCTGCCTTGGTCGCCCTGTACGATGACCTGTGCAGGGAGAAGGACAGGGGGTGTGCGTCCCTGTTGGTTCTCCTGGACCTCTCAGCGGCTTTCGATACCATCAACCATGGTATCCTTCTGGATAGGCTTGTGGGATTGGGGGTCGGAGGCACTGCTTTGCAGTGGTTCCGCTCCTATCTCAATGGCTGGTTCCAGAAGGGGGACTATGGCTCTGCGCCATGGCAGCTATGCCATGGAGTACCACAGGGGTCCATTTTGTCCACTTTGCTGTTCAACATATACATGAAACCGCTGGGAGAGGTCATCAGGAGGTGTGGGCTGCGGAACCATCAGTACGCTGATGATACCCAGCTCTACCTCTCGTTCTCCACCAATCCAGGTGAGGCAGTGGCTGTGCTGAACCGGTGCCTGGCCGAGGTAATGGGCTGGATGAGGGCCAATAAACTGAAGCTCAATCCAGACAAGACGGAGGTCCTGTTGGTTGGCGGATCGGGCTTCGGAGAGGGTGAATTGAACCTTGTCCTGAACGGGGTTGCACTCCCTCTTAGGGACAAGGTCCGCAGCTTGGGAGTGCTCCTCGACCCAGAGCTTTCACTGGAAGCTCAGGTAACAGCTGTGGCGAGGAGCACTTTCCTCCAGCTTCGGCTGATTCATCAGCTGCGCCCCTATCTGGAGAACGACTGCCTTGCGACAGTGACACATGCGTTGGTGACTTCCCGTCTTGACTTCTGTAACGCGCTCTATGTGGGGCTACCCTTGAAGACGGTCCGGATACTTCAATTGGTTCAAAATAGAGCTGCCAGGCTGCTGACGGGGACTGGACGTTATGTTCACATGACTCCAGTTCTCCGTCAGCTTCACTGGCTTCCCATTGAAGTCCGGGCCCAATTCAAGGTGTTGGTGATGACCTATAAAGCCCTAAACGGCTTGGGTCCTGGTTACCTGAAGGAGCGCTTACATCCATATATGCCCAGCCACCCCCTGAGATCGGCGGGAGAGGCCCTTCTCCGGGAGCCCTCCGTGGAAGAAGTTAGGAGGGTGGTTACTCGGAGGAAGGCTTTCTCAGTGGTGGCGCCTAAGTTATGGAATGCGCTCCCCAGAGAGGTCCACCTGGCGCCGTCGTTATTTGTTTTTCGGCGCCAGGCAAAGACCTTTTTATTTAAGCAGTATTTTAAATGTTAATATTTTTGAATTTTATCGGGCCAGGGCGGCTTGTTTTATATTGTATGTTTTATATTATATATTTGTATTTTAATGTATATATTTTAAAATGGTATTTTAATTTATTGTTGTAAGCCGCCCCGAGGCTTCAGCGAATGGGGTGGCATAAAAATGTTTTAATAAATAAATAAAAATAAATATTGCATTTACCCATATTCAGCTTGTGATCTACAATTCCAAGATCTATCTCACTTGCAGTATTGTTGAGCCAAGTATTCCACATCTTGTAAGGAAGCACAAGTTTCTTCTTCCTAGGTGCAGCACTTGGCATTTGAATTTCATTCCCTTGTTTTCAGCCCAGCGCCCTGACCTATCAAGATCACATTGAATCTTATTTCTGTCTTCCAGGGTATTTGCTATCCCACCCAGTTTTGTGTTATCTGAAAACATTATAATCATTCTCTTCACTTTCTCATCCACATTTCATAACAATTTTAAGGATCACTGGGATCAAGACAAAATCCTGTGATACCCCACTTTTCACCTCTCCCCAGTTTCAGATGGTGCCAAAATCCATTTGTGTGGCTCATTCTAGAATGCAAGATAAATGATGGAGCTTAACACCATTGTCAATGCATAGCTCACCCTTCCTGAGTTTTCTGCCCTCAAGAACCATTGCAAAAGCTAAGTATTTCCCACAGTCTCTGCTTTGTGGTTTGAGTACCAGGACACTTTTACACTACAAAAATAAATAGTTTTCAGAACAAAAGAGCCATCCTTTGTTTACTTCCAGGAGGACAGAACATACTTATTTTGTAAAGCCTACAATTCCTTCAAGTTGGTAAATCAAGGGTTAATGTCATTTTCTTAAACATATCAAAACAATTATTCCACTAGGAAATGTTTCCTACCTGATTGCTGTGTTGCTTTTAGTTGGCTGAAATTCAATAACAGGTGGACGTGTTAATCCCTTTTGTAATTCTTTTAAGCTATATCCCTAGGTAAGAGTGTTAATTTATAACATTTGTCCCATTCAGCAGACAAATTCATGCAAAAATCAATTCCAACAAATGCAACACATCACTTAGCAGCTAAACATCTAAAGGAAACATTTTACCATTTAGTTGAATTATCTTAACTGTGTTATATCTCAAAGAGGCCTTGAGTCTTCAAGATTCTTATTTTTATTCTACATCTTTACCCTGAAGAGCAAAATGGAAAATTGCTGAGGGACCCACAAAGCAAGGCTATATTTTCTTACATGTAGATAGCATCAGAGACGAAATAATTGAATGCTGTGGTTTGAACAATCACCCTTTTATTGCCATGCAGTCAGAGTGAAAGAAGGGGCCCATTTACCTTATTTTTTTAATGAACCTTTCAAGTAAAAGTGCAGCCAGGTCACTATGGTACTTAACAATTTATATTTGCCTGTAACTGTTCCTCACCATATACACTAATTATAGGAAAGTGGGTTTAGCAGGCACAAATTTATCCAGCATGCTACCCACAAATGCCAGTGTATGTGGTCACAATCCAGACATTAAGAGAATCTTCTTCTGGGTGCATGCAACTGATTTGACATGGGCTGGTCTGTTGAAAATAAGCAGGAAAGACA